AAAGAAAGAAAGAAAGAAAGAAAGAAAGAAAGAAAGAAAGAAAGAAAGAAAGAAAGAAAGAAAGAAAGAAAGAAAGAAAAGAAAAGAATACTGCTCTCTGCTCTATTTCTGTCATTATGTCTACATTTGTTCTCATGTCTTCCACTGTCTAAGGCCTCCCTTGCACTGACCAGTCCATTGCTCTGATCTGGCACTGAGTAACTTACTCTTTTATTTGGCTTCTGTGCCTTAATGTGGGACCCTTTGGAGCCCAGCTGGATGATCAATACAAGCCAATACTGTGTAGAAAGTTCTTGAGCCCAGTTGAAAATCAATTGAATGTTTATGATGGCAGTAGTGTTAGAGCCCATGAAGGGAAGTGAGTCTCAAAATGCTGCCAGCCCAGCCAGTGAACCAGGGGAGCTTCTAGGAGGCCAAGCTGCCAAAACAAATCTAAAAGGAGGAGGAGGAAACCTGGTACCAAAGAAGGGAAAGGAGGAGAACCTTTCATGGGCTCTGTGAGCACCAGAAACACAAGTGGTGCACAGACATACACATAAAATGAAAATGAAATAAATCATATCAGCTCATGTAACCATCACCTGAAGGTTCTAATTTGTCTTTATCTTTGTCAGTACTTCTCTCTCTCCCTCTCCCTTTTTTCCCTCCTACTCTTCTCTCTCTCTTTCTCTCTGTCCCTCTCTCTCTCTCTCTCTCTCTCTCTCTGTCACCCTCTCTCTGTCTCTCTGTGTGTGTGAGAGAGAGAGGGAGAGAGGGAGAGGTGGAGGTGGTAGGGAGACTGAACAAATAAGCAGAAAGAACTAATGAGACATGTTTGTGTGGGTGCATTTACCTGTGTATACATGTGTAGAATCTAGAGGTTGATTTTAGGTGTCTTCCAATATTGCTTTCCACCTTATTTTTTGAGACAGAGTTTCTTATTGAACCTGGAGTTCACCATTTCAGCTAGATTGGCTGGCCAACAAGCCCCAAGATCTTCCTGTTTCTACTTCCTCAGTGCTGGAGTTACCATCATATCCAGATTTTATGTGGGTTCCGGGGATCTGAACTCAGGTCCTGATGCTTATGCAGATGCAGTAAGTACTTTACCCACCGATCTATCTCCTCAGCCTTCAGTTTTCTGTCTTTAATTTTATCAACCTTTGTGGATAATAGGTTTCTTGGTATGATTTTGATTTACCTTTTCCTGATCACTGATAGTATCTCATCCTTTCCTGTGCTTATTGGCCATCCGTGTATTTCTTTGAAAAAGGTCTATTCATATCCTCTGCCCATTTTAAAAGCTAGTTGTTTGTTTTTGATGTTGACTTTCAGGAGTTCTTTGTATGTTCTAGATACAAGTCTATTCTCAAATATATGAGTTGCAACGATTTTCTCCTTTGTGGGCTTCATCTTTTCACTTAGTGGTGTCATTTGAGACATTTATAATTTTTTGATGAAATTCATACTTCATTCCTGTTACTTAATTTCAAATGACTTGTGCTTGCCTTGTCCTATATATGTCTTTCTAAGAAGTCCTTTGTTCCTCTGGGAACAGGGTGTGTATAGAAAGAAAATGAGCAAATTGTGGTGTACATGATGTCTCAGGAACCAGTATTCTGGAGAACCAAAGTTCTGATGTCTGTCAGAAGGCCTGGCTCTTCACATCCATCACACACCAACTTCCTTCTGTTGTTATGACAAACTTCTACAGCCTTTAGATCTGTTGGAGTATAACCCTGTACTGTGCTGACTTCTTACAGAAGTGTGGGTCTTACCAGCAACTATCAAAGAGGGCATTTGTGCATCCACTTTACAGATCTGGCAGCTGAGGTCTGAGACGAGAAGCTGGTTCAGAGTAGAGGTCCGAGTAACTTGCTTCAGCAGTGTTATCTGGAGGACATTTTGCTGTGGTTCATTTTAATTAGATTCACAAACCACTGTGCTGTGCCTCCATTATTGAAATCTCAATGACTAAGTCTTGGCATGTGGTTCCCACTTTAGTTACAATTTTGCTAGAAAGTATCAGTGGATCTATATGACCCTCAGTTCTGGGGCATAGATGCTCCCTTCCCCGAAACTTGTTTGGTTTATACTTTAGATCACTGTCCATCACTGAGGGTAGTTTTAGAGCAGGAACTCAAGGCCTGTATGGGGTCCTTCCTAGACAGGAAGGGTACACAGCTGGGATGGGCAGACTTGACATGAACCACTATAGTATTCCTGTGTGGGATGCTGGGAATGCTCAGCCCAGGTGGTATTTGGAGTTTATTTTTGGCCAGAGGTTCTGAGGCAGGATGTTGTTCTTGGTGCCCTCTGCAGACATTCGGCTGCCTCTTTGTTTCTATAAACAATGACAGGGTAAAACAGGGAAGTTTGTTCCTGTTATAGGGGAAGCAACCTATCAGCTGACTTTTTCACAAAAGCAGTCTATCCCTAATGCTTGTCTTTCTTTGAAAATAGCCACTCTTGAAAAAAGAAAAAGGGTTGTATGAAAGAAGTAATGAATCCAAGTTTTTTCTTCATTTCCCAAGCCCCACCCTACTCATTGCACCACCTCAGTAGTACTTTTTTTTTTCTGCCCAGACATCACACCAGGATGTTGAGCAATGCTCATCAGGTTCTCAGCTCTGGTCTCAGGGTATTCAGCTGACTTCATTCCTTGTCGTTAGGACTGCATAGAAGACCAGTCCTGCTAACTTCCAAGACCTGCATACATCCTTGGAGCCTGTATTAGTAACTTTTGCATCACTGTTGTCAAATGCCTGACAGGAACAACCTCAGAGAGGAAAGGTTTATTTTGTCTCATGGTTTTAGGGAGTTTTGGAGTTCACATTAGTGAAAGCATAGCAGAACCCTGAGGTGTGATCTTGTTTCTTTTCTGTTTCTGTGATAGAACACTCTAAACAAAAGCAACTTAGGAAAAGAAAGTATATTTTTGTTTTTGTTTTGTTTTTTTGGCTTATACTTTGAGGTCACGGTGGCCATCATTGAAGAAAGTTGGGGTAGGAACTCGAGCAGAACTTTGAAACAGAAACCATGGAGGGATGCTACTTGTTGGCTTTCTCTGGTTTACTTGAGCTCATGCTCAGATAGCTTCCTTATACAAACCAGGATCACTTGCCCAGGGAATGATACTGCCCATAGTGGACAGACCCTCCTACATCAATTAACAGTCAAGACAGCGCCTCATAGACATGGTCATGGAGCAACCTGATAAAGACAATTGTTCAGTTGAAACTTTTTTCCTAGGTATTTCTAAGCTGTGTCATTAATTAGGACAGGGTAGAAATTCTTCACGTGGTGGAAGACCAAGAAGCATGGAGCACAGGCTAGTCACAGGGCATGGCTATAATCTTCAAAGGCCTTTATGACCTGCTGTCGTCTTCCAGGCTCTACCCTCTAAAGCTTCCACAGCCTTCAAAATACTTTACAGTCTACAAAACTTTAAACCTGTGGAGGACATTTCAGATTCAAACCATAACAGCACCTTGGTTTAGTCATCTGAGTATAGAACGAAGGGAGTGAGTGTAGCTCTGGACTCATTACCATGAGTTTTCATAGATCTCATCATATTTGCAGACCATGATACAGTAACAAGCATTTTTCTTGTGTTTTAACTGAAGGAGCTGTATGTATATGTCATAGAGAGAACTAGAAAGTAAAGCTCTGAACTTGATGAACCTTTCCTACTGTGTGGAAATCTTGTGTCAGTAGTGAGCTAATGACATACTAGCATACTGCTGAGACTTTCCTGATGAGGCTTGAAGGATAATCAAACAGTGCTTCATTTGTCACCATGGTTCCCCTAAGACCATTAATTATCTCTGGAAATGTTCTCTGCTCCCTAGCTAGTGATGTATTATGGGATGCCGGCTTGATGGTGATGAAGATAGTATGGCCTGGAGCAATGATTCTTGGACTAGGTGACAGAATCCTAGTGAAGTAGTATAGTATAGAATCAGTAGTATAGAATCTACTGATCCATTTGTATTAGATAATTTTCCTGTTGCTGTGACCAGTTCCTGGTAGAAACAACTTAATGAAGGAACGGGTTATTTTGGCTCACTGTTTGAGAGGGCTTGGTCCATGGTTGCTTAGCTACATGTGTTTGGGCAAGAGCATTATGGTGGTGGGAGTATGTGGCTCTTCTCCTCACTTCATAGTGGACAGGAAGCAACAGGAAGGGACCAAGGTAGGTTATAGCCTTTAGAAAGGTACTCCTAGTATCCAGCTTCATCTAGCAATGCCCTCCCTCCTGCAGTTACCCACTTCCTGGTAGTTTGTTAAATATTGAATCCATCAACTCATGAATATTTAGTTCACAGAGCCCTCATGGTCCATTTGTTTATGGGGGGGGAAACCTCACAAAACACCCAGAGGTATGCTTTATTGATTTTTCTATGCATTTCTCAATCTTGTCAAGTCAATCATCAAGACTAGCTATCACACTATCTAATCAACCTGTATTCTGCAGAGCAACCAAGGGCTGAAAATTACTCCCAAAGAAGTACCCTCTCCATCCTCCTTTGACCCTGAACTCTAAACACTAGCCTATACCTGGCTTTTCTCCTGTACTGAGATTATTGGTTCTTGTCTCCCAACAATAAAAATGGATCTTCACCCTGTTGTCAATGAATATAATGAGTTCAGAGTCCACCTTTGCCTGAATAAAGGGTCTGTCCAGGTTACTGGCTAGGGTGGAAAGCTTGGGGAGCCATATGCCAAACTTTTCACCTTCTTGCCACTAGGAGACTTGAGGTCAGAAAAGGATTGGAAAGAAAGCTTGAGGGTGGAACTTTTGGAGTCACTTTCTATTCAAGTGCCAAGCAGGCTAGGTTCTGCTTAGCTTCCAGGATCAGATGGGATTGGGCATTTTATGGGTTATGAGACCCAGACAATTGGAGTCATTCAAGAAGCTCCAGTGTGGGTAGGCCTCTTTCTTCTCCATTTTTGGGGCAACAGAGAGCAAATTAGAAGGCAAAAAGCCATATTTGTGTTCACTATGTACCCTGGGGCAAAAGAAAGGGCCTAATATTAATTGGGTATCTACTGTGTGCCCAGAGCCTCACATTCCAAATTTTTCTAATACTTCATGAAAGCTGTTTGAAATGAAGAGAAATGACCCAGGATGGGTCATACTGTACTTTCAGTATTCATCGGAGTCATGGTAGTATTCCATCTCTTGAGTTGTATGCAAACAGACAAAGAAGATCTTCCCTTTTCCATCTCTGTCCTGCTTCCCAGGCTCTGGCTGAAAGAATAGTTAGGGTTCCATGGAACCCAGTTTGAAAATACTGAGCTAAGCTGGAGAAGGACTGGATTTCCTTGGTCACATAGCTTGAAAAGGGAGACTAGAATGACCTTTGCAGAACTTTGCAAGACTATGGACTAGAAACATGAATAAATAACATCAAAAGGTGCACCTCTTGACTTTGTTTTCATCATCCACCATTGCTGGCCTGAACTTGGGTCCAGATTCCTCCCAGGCTGCTCTGTTTGGGCCAGTAAGTGTCTAAATGTTTTGCCATGTGTAGTGTCTGAGCTTACTAGAAAAGACAGCTGGTTCCAAACCATCCACACTTACAAGTTAAATTATTATCTCTCATACTTCCCTACCAAAAGTGGGCTTTCTCGTGGGAGGTGGGAGGGAGAAGCATTAATTACTGTATACTACATGGATTTATGTGTTTAGTTCATTCCAGCTTCCTTATAATTCTAAATGAAAAAACAACCAAAAAAGCAGTTGTGTCCATTTGACCCTGGACCACATTGTTTAGTAATAATGAAGAAGGGGAAACTGTAAACAGAAATTCAAATAGATATGTGTTTGCAAATGTTCAAATAGCATTATTTATAATTGGACTAGAAACCAAGTGTCATCAACATATGAATGAATAGGCAAAACACTGAATACACATCCAGTGGCATATTCTATTTCACCAAGTTCTGATAAATGCTACAGCACGCATGCCACATTATACATGTGCAAGTCAGAGGACAACCCATGGGAGTCAGTTCACTGCTTTTACCATGTAGGTTCCCAGGGATTGAATTTAACGTTTAGGTGTGATGGCAGGTGCCCTTAGCTGCTAAG